CCAGCCAAGGCCTCACCTCCATCTTGGTCTGGATCCAGGGCCCCACGATGTTGGCCTGGCTGGCGAATTGCCGACGTAAATGCTCGTTGGATTGCTGCTTGCTCTGCTCGTCGAGCAAGGCATGGTCCCTCTTCGGCACCAGCTGCTGGACCTGCGGGGAGAACGGGAACGGCGTCGGAAGACCCACGGGCATACGTGGCGGCGGGGAGAAACCTTGGCCAAGGCTGTGGGGATGGAGGGATTTGGGAGAGGCAACTACGGCACGGCACGGCCGTGAAACCCCCGGTGCTCCAGGCACAATGGGAAGGAGCATGCGGAGCATCCGGCTGCGGAGGGAGCAGGAGCTACAGCCCCACACGCGATCCCTTCATTACCGGCACGCTAACGGGCGCTTCGTGGTGCCGACGCTGGTGGAGCAGGGACTTACCCGTTCCCACTTGGAGTTGATGATCTGCGGGGTGACGGAGGTGTAGGGGTTGTTCCCCGAGAGTTTGATGCTGTTGAAGTCAGCGATCCGCTGTGCTTCCCTCTGGATGCCCAGGATGGCCTCACGCTCCTTGTCGGCGTCGGGCAGGGTGGACTTGAACTGGTCGTGAGCGGCGATGAGCCCCTGCGGGAGACGGGATCCCAGTTACAGCCGGGGGCCAGGTTTGGGGAGCTGCTTTGAGAGTGATTTGATTCCAGCTCATCCTTCCCCCCAAGAGAAGCTTCCCTGGATCTTACAGACCCCAGAGCTCACAGGAAAAAACGGCCAAGAAGCCGTCTCAAAAGAGGAGACAAACATCTCTGCAGAAAGCTGAAGGTCACCGAGCCTTCGCACCTCTCCTCCCGCGGCCTCCTACCTCGATCTCCTCGATGGTGTGGACGATGAACATGTCCTGAAGGTCTTCCATGGCGCTCTCCATCCAGTTATTGAAAGGGGCCGCCCTCTTCGCGTACTCTAGGTGCAGCTCGTCGATCGTTTCCAGCTGCTTCTCCGTTTTCTGCACGTGACCGGGAGGAATTAGGAGCGGAGGAACCTCCTGCCTCGTTACGGTGGCCCTGTCCCCTCCGTCCCCAACCGGGGCCGGGAGCCAGCAAGCAGACGGGTTGCGTTTACCTCGAGAGCTTCTCTCCTGCTGTGGGTCAAGGAACCCAGAACGTCCCACTGGTCGCAGATCTTCTGGCACCGCGCGTTCACGCTGGGCGAGTCGTAGTAATCCAGCTCGCTTTAGCAGGGGGAAGAAACACAGCGGGGTGAGGGTACAGGGGGGCGCAGAGGTTGGGGCTCGAAGGGACCACGAGAGCTGTTTCGGGACAGGCTAAGCTCCCCCACATCACTCCTGCCTCCCCCCCATCCTGACGTAGGGACACGCTGGGCTACGAGCAGCCCCTCCAGCGGCTTTCAGAGCCCCCACCGAGGTGGCGAGCTCCGCCGACGGCAACACCGGGGCTGGTTAAAAGCCCATCGTGCACAAGACCGGCTCCTGCCGAGCCTGCCGAGCCACCGCGGCTCCTCGGCCCCTGCCCAGCTCCATGCCATGGCGTTTTCCACGCTCCCAAGCCGTGTGTCCCCGATTCCCGGTTGTCAGTGACTCGAGCGGCTGGAATAAGGGCTCCATTCATGGCGTGGCCCCGCCTTTGGCTTTCCGTGT